GTAAGAATTAAGTCTATACTTTTATGGCTCAAAATAAGGATTTCAGTTTTGTATGCTGATTATTTGAGCTTTTGAAATTACCAATATATCCTCATGCCATCAGATATTTTTTTCTCTCCTCCTACTTAGTCAGACGCGTTCCACACCAGAAAGGGAAAGAAGCTTCAGGTCCTTCGTCTTGCAATTCCCGACTCCAACTTCCTCTTCGTTGTTCTATCCTTATCGTCGGTGATTGTGGGCGCTCGTCGTTATCGTGCAAAGGTCGAGTCCTCCACTATGGTCCTCACCTTTGTCTCATATTCTCTGTTCGCTATTCTACCTCCTCCACTCATGGTTGTGCCATTGCTGGTGTGTGGGAGCTAATGCATGAGAGCTGAATCACCAAGGCTGAGGTATTGCGCGAGTCTTTCTACTTCTTAGTCTTGTTCTGCTTGCTCTGCTCTCTTTTTTTTGTGCTTCATGCCTAAATTTCTTTCCCCTATTCAGCCATAAGTTTTGATTCCTCCTTCCCTTTTCTCCATTGTTCTTCCTTTAAAGTATGGAAGCTTCATGTCCTCTTTCTTCTTGTGCTATGTATGTGGGAGTTTATGTTTTACAATTGAAGTATTGATTTATTTCCTTTTTGCTGCTATGACAGTTTGAGTGGGAATAAGAAATTGACTCAAGCTGAAATTTTAATAGTAGAGCATATGGAAATTGGTTAATTTGATTTCCTGTGAGTTGAATCCATTTTTCTTCCCTTTTGACTGTGCGCATATTGTTGAGCTTGCTTTGTAAATGAGATTTTGATGTCCACATTTTTTTGTAGCTGCTGTACGGGTAGAAGGAAGAATGGAAATATTAATTTAGCAATCTTTTAGTATTTACAGAATTAAGTAGCTCTTATGATTTAAACATATAGCCATGGTAAGAAAAAAAAAGTTTAGATGACATTTTTATTTAAAATTTATGTTAGAAGCTGTTGGAATGGATTTGAAGAAAAGACTGGATTGGAATTATGGATTAGAAAAAAAATAAAATAAAATATATGCTTGCAAGGTGCTCGATTAAATTTCTATTAGAAGAAATTGGCATATGACGATTAGATACATGTGAAAATTTAATTATTGTTAGTTAGAAAATTTCTGGAAAAGAATTCTTTTAGATAGAAGTTGAAATTTTGATTAGTTCAAATATCAATTTAGGACAACCCTTGAAATTGAACTTGAAGAAGAAAAAGGACGTGGTCTTGTGGATTAAACATTGTAAAATAAAGGATGTTGGATAAATGTTTAAAAAGGAAAATTTTGGATTTTAAGTAACAAAATATATATGATAGGTATGTCGCCATTGATTAAATAATACTAGAAATCATTTATGCTTTGTAATGGAAGTTAAAGTTGAAATTTGCATTTTGTTTTCTTATTGTTTGGAGAGATAATTGAGTTAGTAATTTAAGAACCAAACCTCTATTTATATATTTTCCCTTAGGATGTTGGATGAAATGTTGAGAAAGAGAAAAGGGAAAGTTTTTCTTTCATTTATTTCTCTGAGTTGTTTTGATTGAAGATTTTAGATGATAAAGCATGTTTGAGGGAATGACAATGATATTATTTAAATGTTAGGAATTTAAGGACAAAGCATTTTCATTAGGAGACTAGATTGGAAGTAAATTATATACTCGGGAACTGTACAGGTAAATGAATAATGTCCCAACTGCTTTACCATAAAATTAGTTTCTGAAATATTATATTTATGCAAATCAGTTTAATGACAATTATGTTAAGTATTGAATTTTTTGTCATTTAAATTCTTATTTTGGAAAATTATAAAGAAGTTTTGAAAGATAATTGAGTTATGGTATGCGTATGTTTTTTTTATAATGAATACTTTTAAAAAATTGATGAGATTATTTTTTATCAACTCCAGTTATTCTGAGTTATGCAATAAATGCCAAACATGGAGTTTAGATATGAAATTTTATCGTGGCATGTTTTAATGCTCAAAAGTATTCATGTGAGTTTAATTTTGAGAATGAGAACTGTATCTTGAAAATGATAATTTTCTCGCATGTTTAAAAATGGTTTTAAAAAGGGACTTTATACAGAACATTGTTTGCTAACAACAGTTCCGTTAGCCCTTGGTGCGCTATGGTACGCCTAGCCAGCAGGGTGTTTATAGGAGGTGCTAGCCCCATGCGATGGCCAACGCATATGGAACGAAGGGATGGTTATTCGTGATCATTGTACTCACGTTTGTTTCATAGCTTCGACTGCATTTAGTTACATACCCTCGTAGACTGTGTCCACATTTGTTTTATGGCTTTAGCTACGTTTGGTTACTTACCCTCGTAGATTGTGTGTCCACGTTTGTTTTGGTAGCATAAGCCGCATTTGGTTATTTACCTTCGTGGACTGTGTGTCCACATTTGTTATTTGTTTTGATAAGTCCCCATAATTATGAGATTTTGATTATTTGATGAAATTTTTACTGGTTTTGATTAACAATATATTTATTATTTATTTAATGTAGTTATTTGTTTTATTGAAAATGAATGATAATGATGTTTGATATGATGCTTTAATGAATTAAGATTTTCTTTAAAATGTTATATAGAATTCTCTTATGCCAAATTTTATTAAACATTTGGTTGCGAAAGTTGTCATCTCTAGCACTCATAATTATTCTATATTTTCCTTTTATGTACATTTAATTATTTATTGTTGGGGCGCTATTCACGAGAAAATTTATTTGGTCTCAGATTCACTAAGATGATGCTAGATCTCCTGCCGATCATTAAGGGGCTTACAATTGTGCTGGGTGAATATTTTATCTTTAGAAACGCCTTTTCTTTTAACAATTAAATGTTCAATTATGTGTTTTATTTTAAATTTGTGTTTAGGTGCTCCACGTTAACTATAGCTAGGGTCCTGTTTTTATTTTATTATGCTGACTGACTTTGGGTAGAGAGTGTATATCTGAACTGTTAAATGTTTATGGTAATATTTTCTATTTTAGAGATTTTGGGAAATCTTAATTATAGTGAAGATTCTGTCAAAATTTCTAAAAACATATTAAAGCTTTCATTATAATGAATATTATTGAGGGTGTCATGACTTCAATAAAAAAATTAAAGTATGTTTTGGAATTGGAAAGTTTTCTTGATTTGAGACTTAAGAGATGCATGGTACAATTTACATCTCATTATAGTCACCCTCTATTTTGGAGCGTGACAATTTTAAAGGCTGAAAATAATTAAAAAAAATCTCTCTATATGCCCAAACGGATTCGAACTCTGAACGTAAGGGATATTATATGCGCACACTTCCACTATACCAACACTCCCCCTTATCATCGATGTCCCATAAATAATATAATTACAATTGAAACAATTAATTCCTAGGTTATTACACCTTGCATGCATTCTTTGCATATGCAGCATGAAACTTTAGGAGCCAGCTCTATTTAATCATAGTTTCAAGTGACGATTTTACTTAAAGAGCTGGCTCATTCCTAGTGAAGGTTTTTGTGTGGATTTGGCTCTTCATATGATTCCTAAAAGAATATTCCCTTCAGTTTTATTTATAAGTCACATCTACCAACCTCATCAATGCTAATACTAAAAAAGTACAAGGAATAAAAGTAAGTAAAATTTCAAACATACTCCTCAAATAAGAAGCAAAAAATAAACAAACCATATAATATTTATTTATTTTGTCTCTCTCTCTTTCTTACTTTTCAAGGGTAGTTTAGGGATTTTAATTTGAAACAAAACAATCTCATAAACTATTGACTTATAAATTGAACCAGATTGTGCTTCTAGAAGGCGTCTAATATACAAGACCGAAGGGAGTATTAAACATAAATAATATACCAAAGAACATTGTCGTGTTAGAGTCTTACTAAATCCAGGCGTAATAGAATCTATTTGACTACCAATATGAGATTAGACTTTATAAATCTCATTTTGCTTATGAGGCTCTTTAATTTATGACTCATAACAACTATTCCTAGCTAGTACTAATTAACTGTTGGTTGATTGGGTGAGAGAAGATAAAGCTGAGCTTGATTTTTGTTAGCTTTGATAATTTTTTGATGAATTTACACTAAAGTTTAATGGGAGAATGACACAGAGGTAATTCAACTTAGGCCTCAAGTCCCAAACTCAAGGAATTTGTAAGTTAAGCTCTCAATTTTGCAACTTCGTTATAATAAATTTACAATTTATATTTCAAATTTTAACAAGAAAAATGCATTTTCTTATTCTTTAATCATGTTAAAATTTAAAAATTAAGTTATAAATTCATCACAAAAAAGTTACAAATTTGAGAAATGAACTTACAAATTTTTAAAGTTTGGTACTTAGGACCTAATTTGAATTAATTGATCTTCTTAGGACCTATATGTCTTTCTCCCAAGTTTAATTTACTTTGTGTTTGATTAGGACGGCCCATGCAATTCATTCATTTTAGGTATCCATTACTTGAACTTTCAAAGCCATTAAAATTTATATGTTTAATTAATTTTTGCATGTGAAAGCTATTTATAACCCATTTTGAAATCTGCAGTTGTTCTATTGATCTCACAAAGCAAGCATGCTTGGGATAAGAGAGGAAGGAGTTAGAGAAAAAAAGAATTTAATAGTTTTGGAGAGAAAAATCTGGGAGGTTCATATTTCAGTATATTTTGAGCCATCTAAATACGCATTTTTTTCTTGCCTTTTTAAACCCTAGATTCTTACCCACATCGTATTCTACCCTAATCACCTGAGTTAGCCATAGGTAGCTAACCAACTATTGTTTGAGACTTGTGTTACAGTAAATAAAGGCTCATTTAATGTCCTTTCATACAAGCACTCTTCATACATGTTGTTACCTCTAAAAATTTGAGATTTGATACTTTTTGAATATTATAGGACAAATTTTTTACAATCGTTTGACTAACTTAAAAGGTTGTTATCATGCCATATGAGATACTTATTAAATGAGTAGACTTGAGCTATTGACTAGATACAGTGCTGAAACTTTTCAATGAATTCCTTTTGATACACAAAAAAGAAAAGAAAAATTTTGGAAAACATAAAACGTCTCTGTTTCACCATGTTCCTCTAAACTACGTACAAGCAGATTCTAATCTACGATAGGACTATATATATATACATATATACACTGTCTCGTCCACGGGATTATATTACTTGCTAATTCCATGACTTGCCACATTTATTGTGACGCGACCACGCAACAGTCTTGGTCAAATTGCTCATACTTGTCTCCAACATTTTGAACCGCTTCCAATCTCGGAGGACAGCCTTAAGGTCGGCCACCTTCGCGGTGATGCCCCGGCAACAGTTGGCATGTACGGTGGTGACTTCCCTAAAGTCCTTACTGTTCTGACAAAACCCACTGAAGTAAAGAGTGTCCATGAACCTAACACCAATTCCCAACTGTGTAGTTATGCCATGTCTAATGAGATCTTGAAGCACGTCTTGTTCTTTTTGACCTGTGGAATTGTCCTTTTTACTATACCATGTTTCAAACAATGTAATGGTCTTGTTGTTCGATCGAACGAAGTAGAATCCCGTGTTGATATCTTGCCGTGTCGACCTAGGATCTCCAAGATATCTGTCAGTGCTGATCTGTAAGTCCTCGTTAGTGTCGTTGCTAAACCTTGTGAATGGGTTTCTAAGCCACATCACATCAGCATCCTGATGAAATTCTAGCAGTTAGTTTTGCATAGAGAGATGGATTGTTCTGTGTTACATAGATCATGCTATTTTGCAACACTCACGTTGGAGTGTGATTGGATTCCTGTTTATAAATTACATTCTAAAAGTTTGTTATTTATAAGGAGAATGATATTGAAGTCTCAACAATGAATTTATAACAGTTAGGTCATTGATAAAATTTTCTATAAAATTAGTAGTAAATTAAATATTGATTCAAATAGTTGAAATTTAAAAGTTTTAATTGCAAATAAGACATTTAAATTCTGAATATAACTTTTAATTTGCAATTGTGATTCTTGTTTGCAACTGTTGAACCTATATTTATAACTTTTTTTTCAGAATATTATGTCAGGGACTTAACTGTCATAAATTCTCTATTTTGAAACTTTATTGTCATTCTTCCAAATTTATACTCTTTCCAGTACTAGATGTAAGTAACATTTTTGAAATGGATTGTGCAGTGGAAGAAAAATGAGAGAAAAGTAATTTGAGGAAAATGAACTGAATGAATTTTATTAATCATAACTTAGTTTTTATATAAAAGTGGTCTGTAACTGAAAAATAACAAATCAGAAACTAATTACAGGTAGTCTAACTAATATAAGACACGCGGTCATATTGTGGATCTAGCCATTGCTTCGTCTTAACGCTGAGACGTTCTAGAAAGAATTTATAATCTTAAATACATGACCACTTCGTATGAATTTTTAGAATATTTGATGACTTTTTCTAAATATGCCCTACATTAAACAACCTAAAGAGTATTTGAATTTTAAATTAATTGTGTTGATCAGATCATGGGTAAAGATGAAGAGAGTAAACCATTTTATAAAATCTACCAAAATAATATTGTTTCTAATAGAATCAAATGGCATGGATATCGTTAGCATTTGGGGAATATGGGTTAATCTTAAGACATTTTAACTAATTTAGAGTAATTTGATTTTCTTGGTTCGTGTGTATTAGTTAAATATGACTTGCACAATTTATCACTGGGAAAAACAAGGTGGGAAATTTTAGATTCTCTTTGGGTTTGTTTTTGTTGAAAAGATGGGGTAAATTTCAGACAGTCAACTAATTTTAACTAATTGTCTTGGTTTGTGTGCAATAGTTAAATATGACTTTGCAGAATCTATCATTTTGGAGATACAAGTGAGAAATTTTAGATCCTATTTAGGTTTTATTGTCATTAGTGTTTAGAAAGATGGGGTTCAAGACAATCAACTAATTTTAACCAATTAATTTTCGTGATTTGTGAGCATTAGTTAAATAGTATGATTTGCAGAATCTATAATTTGAAGAAACAGGTGAGAAAATTTTTCTCTTTAGGTTATTTTGCGTTGTTGGAAAGATGGTTAAGATAGCCAACTAATATTAACTAATCTTCTTGACTTGTAAATCTATCATTTGGAGAAACAGATGAGCAATTTTAGGTTATCTGGAGGTTATTTTGCGTTGTTTTCTCTATGTGTTGTTGTATTGGTTGAAATTTTAACCTTGTGGAAAGTCTTATATATACAAATGTAGAATTTTAGTTATTCACTCAAATTGTCACAAAGAGGCACAAACCCGCTTTGATAAATTATAAATTAATAAAAAAAAAGTCAAAACTAACTTATCACTTGACGTGGACTTGATAATTTGTTTATAATAATAACGATAAATGAAACCCACATAAATTTTTTCAGAAAAAACAAAACCTGCATACTTATAACGTATTTTGATATTAGTTTCTATTTATTTTTTTGTTGTTCCAAGTTCTTTAAGTTTTATCTATTTGCAATGTTAATCTTTATATTTTTAAATATGACTTAAAGACTTAATATAATAGTGTTTAATATAAACATGAACCTTATATTTAAATATTACCCTAAAGACTTAAAAGCTTCTAACATGTACATGAACTCCGCTACTTCTTGTGATGACTAATAAAAATTATTATGAGTTATATAAAAAATAAATAGATGGCATATAAATCAAGTATAACTTTAAATCAAAGTCCTTAAATGCACAATGAATGAAGTTTCTAAAAGAAGAGGACAAGATAGCTAAAGTAGATAGGTAAAAATTAAAAGTTAGTAATAATAATTTTGCTTATACAATGTTTAATTCATCGAAATTTTACCAACACAGCAACATGATTAATCGAAGTATTATGTTGACATCAGCAACTTTAACTCCATAAAAAGTGAGATTTGAATTCAATGACTATATTTAATATAAATATTGATGTCTGTACCATCTAAACCATTAAAATTTAGATCAACGATTAAGATAAATTTACTCATTTATTAGTCTTAAGTGGAGTATAAATTCATAATTGTTGATCTAAATTTTAATGGTTCAGATGATATAGGCATTCAATACCTATATTAAGTAGAGTCACTGAATTCAAATCCATATAAGTGTTGATAAGGACTGATGTTGTAGAAAGATAAAACTTAGGAGACTTGGAAAAACGGAGAAATAAAGCGCAGGACTAATATCAAAACAAGCTAAAAATATAAGCACTAACAATTATATTTTTCCAAAACTCTTAACAAAGCCAAACACCAAAAAAAAAAAAACAAAGAAAAAAACGTACCGTGAAGATGAAGCTGTATCCCCGCTTGAGAACTTCCAAGAGAAAAAGAGTCCTTCTCCACATCATGTTAATGAAATCAGCGGACATGAACAACTTCTCGCCTTTCAATTCCACACCGTCCGTTTCCAATCTGAAACAGTTCAATCGGAGAAATCGGCACCGATCATACGCCGTCTGATCGACGGCCACGACCAGAAGGTGGTCAACCAGAGACCTCGTACCTTGTCCAAGCCAAAAGCTGCTTAAGAAGAGGTCAAACATGGTGACGGTATCGCCATTAACGTCTTGTTCTGCGTAAGCCATGTTTATGATCGTCACTATTACAATCTTGTCCTTCATTGACGCTTTAGCTAAAGCAGATTCAAGCTTATCTTGATGTTTATCAATAATTCTCTACAGTAAACATATGAAGTCAAATTAAAAAGACTGGATCATTATTTGATTCATTCTGAAGCATTAATATATCCTGAACTTACTATGTCTGATGATGATTCCTGCATCAGAAACGGGCTAGAGAAAGAAGAAGACCGAAACAGTAAGAAAATTCCGATCAAGAATAGCAGAACGATGGAAAAATTCCCAAATTTCTGTTTGGCATTATCCATGGGATGTGCCTCTACGTATATAATGCATATGCTGATATTTCTTCCCAGAATTGCAGAATCAAGGGAATTGAATTTGCTTTGAATGGGAATTACATACAGATAAAGCCTGGTGATAGTTTCGGAAAATGGTCGTGGAACGTTGGGTACATAAGAAAGAGGGAGAGAATGGATTTTGCTTCCTTTGTAGAGGAGGCCACGGCATAGAAGGAGAAATGAATTATATATAAACTATTTCTCTCTCATAATACAAGTCCTTTTATAAAATTATTTTTTGTTTCAATTTTTATACTCTTTTGATCCTTTTTGTCCTTAATATAAAGAAAAGTTAGAGTTAATAATTTTTTCAATTTTATCCCTTATTTATTTCCTGCTGTTTGAATTCTTAAATAATAATTTATTATAGTTATTAATTGTATAGAAGGATATGAATTGAAAAGTTGGATATTTTTTTAAAACAATTTTAAGAATATAACTAACATTTTGTTTTATATTAAATGCGGAGTTGATTAAATTTACTTTACATTAAGGATACGATGGAGTATGGTTTTTTTTTAGAATTTTAAAGTTACGTTTATTAATGTTTTTTGTTATTTTAACTTGTAAATATTTTTCTATTATACTCAGAATAATGTAGACACGTTTTAATGCATTAAATTAAAGATGTATCCAATAATGCGATCTATGTTTTAACAATTGTATTTCTTAATATGTGTGCTAAAATTTAAAAATATTTTAAAAATATAATTATTTGATTCCTATACTTATGACTCAATTGTACTTTAATACTTAAACTTTAACATAATATAATTAAGTCCATATAGCTTGATTTAGTTGTAACCGTCTTTGAACTCTAACTATATATGATTCAGTTTTTATAATTTTAACTATATAAAATATTATTAGTTCCTAAGCTTTAATTGAGTTGCAAAAGTAAAAATTTTATAAAATGAATGTTAATTGAATCAAAATTATAAAATTTAGAAATTGAGTTTTAATATAATCAAAATTATAGAATTAAATGATTAATTTTCTAAAATAAACTATATCTTGAATCCAACATTACGTGTTTTCTTAAACAAATACCAAGTGAGAGGGGGTCCAGTCTCCTTTTCCCGTACTCTCCATTTTTGTCTATTTTCATTCATCATCATTGGATCTAAACTTTTCATCAATTTTGATTTAATTTTTAATTAAATTATTCTTATAATATTACATAAAAATATATAAATAAATTTGAAGAACTAAAATTTGATCTAAACTATTTAAAACTATAATATTTCATTTATATGTTTTTATGTAAAATTATAATAATATTTTTATCAAAAATTAAATTTAAAAACTTTAATCTAGCAATTGAAAGTAAAAGAGAAGGAAATGCTCCTCACATAGAAATAGGTGGGTCCCACTTAACAGATAAGGTCCCCAAAACCCCCAACTAACCAAGTCGGTTTAACTATGGGGGGAAACTCTTCCCATTGTCAGTATCAATGAGAGACAATGTTTATCCAAAAGAATAATAATAAGAGCCGAAGTTCTTAATCCGAAAAACAAAAACAAAAAAATAAAAAAAAAGAAAGAGCGCCAATGTTCGATAAGATTTAATTTAATATTTTTCTTCTGGGTCACGAAACCTGTTGCAAGAAAAATGGGGTTTCACCAACTCCAGCTGTGTCAAATGAAAAGACATAGTTTTGTTATTAGAAAAGAATGTAATAGGATGAATTAACAAAATAAAGATAAAAATAAAATAATTAAAAAAATAGGTAACTCAATTTTTAAGGAGGAAGGATAATTTAATTTATAGAATTATGAATTATGATTTATGAGATTTTTAGAGGGTATGATAATTTTACTTTTGTAATTATATTAATGAGTTTTATTATGTTTACCATAAGAAAAAAGGTGATTTAATTTATTTTTGTTTTGATCTTTTCAATCTATTCTATTCTTTTCCTTTTTAGTAACCAAAGGGAACCTAAATTTTTCTTAAGTAGCTTCAAACATTTGAACTTGATTCAATAATATTAAATAGTATAGTCATTTCAATTCTCATTTTAAGACACTTTCAAGTTTTATGCATCTTATATGAAAAGTTACTTTTTTTATGTTATAAAAAATGATATGTACTTTTATTTTTATTATTAGCTTTAATTAATGATACGAATATATTAAATACTTTCACACTAATTAAGAAATGATAAAATTAAAAAAAATAATTTAATTATTATAAGGTGTTCTGTATTTTGAATTAAAAATTATTTTTAAAAAGTATCCTACAAATTAAATAGGACCGGACCGAGTATCATATAATTATATAAAAAATCAAAAATAAAAGAAAAACTAATGTTTAAGTACCACATTTTCCTTATGTCCTTTCTTGTGGAGAACATGAACCACAGAAGACTTGGACCATTTCATCCATACATCTGCTAGTGTGAATATTGGGTAATTGAAAGAAATCAACTAGGAATTTAAAGATTCGGCAGAGGCATTTGATGAATACTACTTAAACTCTAGCAGACTCGCATGGAATTTGTTGCGTGAGCTGCAGTATTCCATGGAATCTTAATTAGGAGGTTTCCTAGTGTGCCAAGTTTGAGAAGTCATAAATATAAAACGGACCAAAATTCAATTTAAGTATATAAAATATTTTGAATAATTTTAATGGAAAAATAGCCATACCATATATGAGAGAGGACTTCCGTCTCAGAAACTCCAAAGTTCATAAAGTCAACTAGAAATTTAAAGAAAGTAATTTGACAATGACTTGTATTGAAACTCTAGCGGACATTGCATGAAATCGTGTTTTAGACGCCATTTGTCTATTTGTTTACATTACATTATTAATTTACTTGTAGAAAACTACTACATCCAAAGTGCAAAGTACCAAGCAGAAAAACACTAATGGAAAAATGGCTATTTAAACTGCCTTTCTTAAACTGGTTCCTGCATGAAAAATTTAAAAACTAGAGGTAGTGGCATTTTTGCAAAATAAATGACATGTCAACAAGACTTTCAAAACCGGTTACAAAGACAACCAGTCTAAAAATTATTTTCTAAACTAGTTTAGTGAACATCCGGTTTGTGATAATTGATAAGTGATTGTCTTTGTAATTTTAATTATAGGGCTGTGAGGACGCACCAGTTTGCTGATTTAAGAAAGCACACCCATGCACTCAAAGATCTACATGGGTCACGCAAAAGGTAAGAGCATGTTTGTTTAATGAAACCTTGTGAATTTTGATATTTCTCTTTCTTTGCTAAAGTTGTGTTCTTTTATAGAATCATACACAATTGAAGAAATCTCAATTATGCAACTTGTATGTCACGTGTCACATTTTAACATCATTACACAAGACATGACTTCATTCACCCGAGATATAAAAGTATTTTTAGAATTTTTGTGACTTCATTTACCCAAGAGATAACAATATTTTTAGAATTTTTGTGCTTTCTTCAATTGGAATCACTAATAAAATAATTAGTTTTTTTTGCACTTTTAAGTGTTTGAGCTTATTGAGCCATTTTCATGAAGTGGAAATTGTAATGAACACAAGCTTAAAAAGAGAGCTCATCCTAAAAAGCTAGCCTGGTAGGAATGACCTCTAAACTATAATTTTGGCAGCTCCCATTCTACGGCACTTCACTCAACTACGGCCGGTCATAACCCTTCTTGGGTAGCCTTTTCTAAGACCATAAGCCTAAAGAGAGTGATGCCACTACCTAACATACTAGCCTGTTGGGTGAGAGAGTCATTTGAACTTATAAATCCCACACCACTTATGAGGCTTGTCGATGTAGGACTCATGTCAATGCTAGTTTGTCAAGAGCTAACATCCATGGTTTCTTCACTCTACGACACTTCATTTGGCCTCCTGCAAGTTAAAACTCTCAATGGGTACCCTTTTTTCATGACACGAGATTCTCAATGAAAACATCAATGTAATGAGTAAAAGCTTAAAGAAAGAACCCTTCCTAAAAGATTAGCCTAGTAGGAGTGCCCTCCAAACGTATAATTCCAGCGGCTCTTACTCCATAGCACTTCACTCAACCATGACAGGTTAGAACCCTAAGTATGAGGCCCTTTCCAAGACCACAAGTCTAAAGTGAGTGATACCACCACCCAATAGAGGTGCTTGTTGGGTGAAAGAGTCCCTTAAATTTGTAAACTCTACACCATTTGTGAGGCTCCCCTGTAATGACCCAAAATTCTTTTTAAAGTTAATGCAAATTAACTTTTCTCTCAATTAATATTTTATTTAAATTAATTTTACAGTAAGTGGAAAGTGGTAATTTAGAGGAACTTATCTAGTATTTTTTTTAAGGACCAAAGTTTAAATTTTACTAAGAAAAAGATTGGTCTTATTTTATTTTTAATTATGAGAAAAATTTGTGCCTTTTCTTGTAATTGTTCCTTGTGCCATTGCTTGTAGTTTTCCCAATTAATTTTTTTTTTTGTTCACAATTTATATCATTTTACGCGAAAACAGAGCACTCGTCCAATCCATTTCCTTCCTTTCCTTCACCGACACAAACACTCTGATTCTTCACTGCCAATAGAGACAGATCGGGAAGCTTCTCCCCTGCACTTCCTTCTTGGTTTTCAGCTGTCGCTGGTACTGGTGAGTCCAGAGTTTCGTCCGCCGCTGCTAAGAGTTTGAGTCGTGAGTTCTCCTAGGTGCGTCGTCGATCGTTTTCCCCTCCCTTGCTGCGACGTCATCCGGTGTGCGTGTGGACCTCAAATTTCAGTTCTCCCGACTCTGCTTCCCGTCCGACTTCCTCTCTTTTTACTCATCATCGGCATGCTGGTGGGTATGCCTCAGATTTTCTCCTCCTCCTCCTTCATAGTTGCTGAGATACACCTTCTTCTTCCTCTTTTTGCTTCTATCAACGTGATTCAGGTGACAAGTTTGGAACCCTTCTTATTGATTGGTCTGTGCGTGTTTGTGTGAATTAATGATCATCTTCTTGTGCTGTGTTGTCCGTGGCTATGGGGATGGGGAGCTAGAATCTAGCTGAAAAATTGTTGTACTGAAAGAGGATGCTGTTGGTCCCTTTATTTTCTTTCTCTGTTGTTGCAATAACTGACAGTCTCCCTTCCCCTGTTCGGCACGAGTTTCGAATTCTCCTTCCCTTTTCTGCTTCTAGTTGGTAACATGAGGTATAGAACTTTAAGTTCTCTTTCCTTTTGCTGTCCTGTGCGTGTGTTTTGGTTAAGTTGTGGACTTTTATTTTCCTTTAATCGTGTGAAATGCAGAGATAAGAATTGGGAGTTATTTGTGGTTGACATTAATCTTCTATTAAGGCATATATATATATATATTGGACTTTGATGGATTTAAATATCTTCATTGTAAATTTTGAGAGTTGGAATTGATTAGGAAAAAGTTGGTGTTAGTTTATGACTTGATCCTTATGAAGTGTTCCATGAAATGCTTGCTAGAAGGAATTTTGTTTGAATATGTATTTTGAGATTTAACTAACTCACATATAAGAAATATATCTAATTTAGATGTTAATGAATCTTGAACCTCACATGAATATTATAAAGGAATTTAAGAATGAAGCGTGATGGAGAAATGTGTGTAGCTAGTTGAATGTTAAAAGGCTTTATTGTGTGGTTTGGAAATAATGTACACAAGCTATCTGAACAAAAAGCTTAATTTAATGGAGTAGCTAGCAATGGCTATTGAGCAATTTTTATGTGTAAAGCCTTGATTCAAAAATTTTAAATCTATTATAGTTGGGGGTGATTATGTTGGGAGGGAACTTTTAAACTTATTCTGTGTCAACTAAGACCTTAATATATTTTATAGTGTGTTTATAAGAGAAAAAATTCGATTGAAGTTATAAGAGGTGAACTTTGAATCTTGAGAACATTTAAAGTAAGTGAATAGTATCCCAATGACTCGTTAGCAAATTTATTTTCATAAAAATATTAGTTTAGCATATTCATGTGCCATCTCTTTTATTTACATAACTATTTTTATTCTGCAAGAACAAATGATAGAGTATTTTAATTAATTTTTGTATTAATTAATTAATTTATTTATATGGTTTATAATCTTAATTTTATTATTAGCTGTCTTGCATGGAATGTTGGTTATGTATTTAAAGAACGATTATAATGATTCATGTATGGGATATATAAATATACAAATAAATTTATTTATGCTGAGTATGATGAGAAATATTAAAAAAAATATATATTGATTTTATTGACCCATGCAAGCTTGATTCAAAATGTGGGATTTAATTAGAATACTAGTTACTAACAATAGTACCGTTAGCCCTTAGCGCGTCATGATACACCTAACTAGTAGGGTACTTAGGAGGTGCTAATCCATGTGATGGCCAACGCACATAAAATGGAGGAATGGTTTTTCATGAGCATAGTACTCACGTTTGTTTTTGCAGGCTTTATGCTTGCGCTTATTTTTGTGGCTTCAAGCTATGCTTATTGATTGTTTATCCTCGAAGATTGTGTTTCCACGCTTGATAATCATTATAATCAAATCTTACTAAGAGTGAATGTAATAACTCAAGAATTTAAACAAGATTAAAATTTATAATTAGATATTTTGATTGCATTTTTGTTTTGTTTTGGAGTATATTCATTAAAAAAGAATGATGGTTTAGTGATATCTATTGTTGGGTGTTTAAGTTTATATTCTAACTTTGAATTCTTATGATGGTATAAGATAGGAATTTATTTTATTTTACTTTTGTCTTAATTTGGCTAAAATTATTATAGTGCCCTCTTGGTAAACACGCATGCTCCTCTGCCAAAAAAATCTGTTCTTTTTGAATTCTCCAGACTTGGAGAGAGAGTTTGATAAGGGAAAACTAGATTCTTTGTTCCTATTCTCCATTCCTTCGAACCATTTGGAGACCATCATCGTGAATCTGTTGTTGTCGGAGTTTGAACCATGAGTTTGCCCTTGCCCCTACATCGCGTCAATCCCTCTTCCCCTCTTCTGTCACACAATAACAACACCCAATCTCCTTTCTACTGTTATGTTGCTGGATGCTCAGATTTTCCTCTTCCTGGTTCGGCGTCATTGGATCTGCTGGTTCATGAGCTCCGTTTGCAGCTGCTGCGAACCTTGCCGTGAGTTCTTCCCCTGTTTGCTATTTGTTCACTGTTCATCTGCGTCCCTATTCGTTCTTCTTCTATTTTTGTTTTGCGTTGCTGAAAGTCATCCCCCTCCCGTCCGAGCTACTGTGGGTTAGTGTAAGAGGTTCCTTTCTTCCTCCCCTATTCAACATGACAGATTTGTCCTTCCTCCTTTCCTGTTCTACAGTAATCGATTGAAGGTGTGGAGCTTCAAATCCCCCACCTCTTTGCCATTTTGTCTGTGTGATATTTGGCTTGGCTGTGATTGTTTTCTATTTTTGCTGTTGCTATGCGTGATAGAAGGGAATGGATGAGTTTAACTAAACGAAACTTGAATTTAAGAGTATGATCGTCAGAAGATAATTTCTCTTATGTATATTACTGTAGAAGAAGAATTAGATTTAATTTTCTTTGATCTCAATTGGCTTGCGTGAAGGGAGAAAAAAATTGGGAAGCTTGAAAATTTAGATATTAATGAAATTTTTAAGGAAATGAAGAAGCTTGTATTATAGTTGGATATGAAAGCATGGAAGGTGTTTGACAAAATGTTTGATAGAAGGAACTTTGCTTGATTTTGTAGTTTATGAAATTTTATTAATTTTTTATAAGAAGTATGTGTGATTTAGGTACTATTTAATTGTGAATTAACTTGAGTATTATCTAGAAATTAGATAATTATGGAGATAATGTGTAAGTAGTGGATTTCTTGGGAGTTGTATGGTTGTTGATTAATGGTTGAGTAATAGATTTGAATGTTAAAAAGCTCATTTGAATGGTTGAAATGATGCACACTAGGCATTTGACAAAAGACTAAAGAGGAGATTGCATTTTAATTGAGCATTTAGCTATTGTTACTTCATGTGTAAATCTTAGTTCTAAGGCTTTAAATTTATTATAGTTAAATGTTTGTTATGTTAGTTTGAAATAAAGTTTTATTGAATTTATTGAAAGTCTATTAAGACCCTACTATATTTTATAGGGTGTCTAGAGAAAGAGGATTTTGATAAAAGGGATAAAGAGTAAGTTATAAATTTTGGAGAGTATTTCAGATAAGTAGATAACATCCCAACTGATACTTCAATAAAAATTTCATTTATTGAAATATTACATTTTTATGCAAATTCTTTTTACAACAACAATATAATTATGAGATATTTTATTGATTAAATTACTTTATTTTGTGAAATTATTTTACCTAAATTAATTATTTTACTTAATTAGTAAATAAAAGTTTGAATTTTAATTATGGAAATTTATTCTGAAAATTATTGAATTGCTACGAAAAAATGATTCATGCGAATTTAACATTGAAAATGAAAATTTTATTTTAAAAGTGATGATTTTCTTGCATGTTTGAAAATGAATTTAAAGGGGACTTTACATAAAACAGTAGTTGCTATTGACAGTTTCGTTAGTCCTTAGCGCGCCATGGTCAATGATTGGCTAGTTTTATTTTTGTGAGCTCTGTTCTCATGTTTATTGTTCATGGGTCTAATACCCTCGTTTAATTTTGAGGCTTTGAGCTGTGTTTGGTTAGCAATATCCTCGTGGACTGTATATTCATGTTTATTTCATAGCTCAAGCTACGTTTGGTTACTTACCCTCATGGACTGTGTAACCATGTTTGTCTTCGTGGTATAAGCCGCATTTAGTTATTTACCCTCATGGATTATGTGTCCACGTTTGCTAATTGTTCTGATAAGTCTCTATAATCATAAATTATATTATTTGGTGATTTTACATCTTATAGTTGTTTTTTTTTTCAATAATTTATTTATAATTATTTATTTTGTTTATTTGATTTCTTGAAATCAAGTGACAATAACATTTTATTTGATAATTTAATGGTTCAAAATTTTATTTAAAGTTATATAGAGTTATTTTATTTTGAAGTTCACTGGATTTTTATGAAAATCATCATTTTTTTAACTTACATAATTGTTTCAAACTTTTCTTTTATTCATGATTAATTGTTTATTGTTAGGATGTTATTCATTGAAAATATTTTTGGTTTTAGATAACATAGCTGATTATTTACCTCCTGTTGATCTTTGAAGGGGTTGTTTTTGAATTGATGAGAAGATTTTTTGCGGATACCTTCCTTTCAATGTAAATATTTAATTATGTCTTATACTTTAAAATTAGAATTAGATGCTCCACATAAACTATAAATAAGATTTTGATATGTTATTTATTTGTCTATCTGTTGTGGAGGAGCAGAGTTTCATATTTTTTAATTTGGATTGTATATTGATTTTTTTTTTAAAACTTTAGGAAGTTTTATTTGCCGGAGAGGTTTTATCAAAGTTTTTACAAAAAGTTAAGAATCTTTTATTTATATAAAAATGTTATAATGCTTTTCCATCCTATTTTAAATAAATTAAAATTAAAGTTTTTTTAATCAAGGCTTAAGCGAAGTAAGTTTGTGCAAATATCCTGTGTCGATTATATTTAATTTTTGGAACATGACAGTGAATTTAGGAAATTAGTTTTTCTTAAAATTTGATATTCTAAAGGAAATTGTTATTTTTATCATTTTTATATTTTGTATTGAGCTATATAATTCTCAAGGCGTCTAAACATGTTGCTATTTAAAGTGGGTCTTGAATTTTTGATAAAATTTTATTTGAATTCATACCTTCATAATTTTTTTAATTTACATAGCCATTGATATATATATATATATATATGAGGTAAGTGTTATATTATTTTCAATTGATTATTTTATTAATTATATAAGAAACTTGTTGTTGTGGCTTTCATTATTTCTATCAACCATGGTTGGGACGTTATTCATTGAAACATTATTTTTGGTCTCAATGTAACTGACATTGTATGTCCTATTGGAAATTGTACCTTAGGGTCAATCATTATATTATGTACATTGTTAGTTAATAAATTTTTTTGTTATCATATCATTACATGTTTACTATGATAACTATATCCTTGAACAAAGTACAGTGATTGTTCTAAATGTTCCTGGTCGGTCATATATGAGGGATTATAGATGAAACAAGACTAGTATGACTTTAATTAATTATAGAGATATAAATCAAAGTTGTAGGCACTTGAAAGAGTATAAGGTGTTGGATCGACCTGCTATGAGAAAACTACATGATATAAGTCATAAGCTTATCTTATATGTAATCATATCACTAAACCCTTTGACCTGAGATTATCATAAATTCCTACATGATGACCATTGAACTTTGACCTAAACAAAAATACCTTTGATCGGGTGATCATGAAGGTTATGATTGAGTTTAGTGATATTCATGTAGAGAAATATGAGTGGTTAAAATGAAATTTGTCTCTTACATTAAGTGAAAGATATTATTGGGCCACTTAATGAGTAAGACTGAGAAAATGTATAGCTATACTATAATGGAAAGGGTTTTTTCATTGCTATAGTCAATCCACTCAGAAATCAATAAAGCAATAATCAGTTAAAAGAGAATAATAATTTCATGTCTCGATCTTGACTGAAATATCGTGTGACAAAAAAAAATATGATACGGTTATATGATAGGTTACATCGAATTACGATCCCCATATGAATTTGGTAGTTATAATGTCTTGTTAGAGGTCACTTGTGACTTGTGGGACTAATAGCGTAATTAGCCTATTGCCAACTTCATATGGGCCTATAGGGTTGCACACAAAAACAGTCCAACTCAAGCTATAATGTCCAAGTTTATTAAATTAGGAATATGTCTAGATTTAATTGTAATAGCCTTAAAAACAAATATATCTATATACTTATTTAATTAACATATAATAACTTGTTAAGAATGTATTTTAGTTATGTTTGGGATAATTATAACAATATGAAGTATTGGTAGAATGATTGTATGTGTGCCAAGTAACCTGAAGGTTCTAAGTTTGAATCCTTGATGCAATAAAAGGGATTTTTATTTGGTTTAGCTTCTCTGAAATTATGTAAACACCCCTCCCTCATCAAATTTATTTTCTTATTCTCTCCCTTATTTGAGTCAACTATAAAGTACAAGAGAAAGCTAGAGAGATTTGGAATTTTGGAGCAACTCGTCTCCTCGTCCCTCTGTATTTTTTCCTTTCCTCGATCTCAAGGCTTACCGGTGTTAATAGAGAGTTGTCATAGCTTGGAAACTTCTAAGAGGTTCAGTCTCGCATCTTCCATCTCTGTTTCTCTTTTTTTTTTTCAGTTGCTGCTTGGTTTCTGTAGTCTGTGTTCAGGTTGCTATTGGCGTGGGACCAAATCGTTAGAGCTGGAAGTTCTACTCATGAGCCTTTCCTTTCCCAGCTCAACCGTGAGCTTTGTGCTCTGTTGTACTGGTCTGTACTCTCTGTTTTAGTTGCCTCTCCATTTTCTGCTCTATCTCTGGCCGTGTGACTGTGTCGGGCTATGGGGAATAAACCAAGTTGCTAGAGCTATTGTTGGTGCTGTTGAGAGCTGGGTCTACTGCTATGACGTGGTTTTCCTCCTTTCTTGAGTGCTATGATCCATTCTTCCTCTCCCTTGTTCAGTGTAAGTTTTGCCTTTCTCTTCCTTAAGTGTACGTTGTTGGTTACTGGAAGTAAGGGAGCTTCAAGACTTGCTTTGTCTTGATTAATATATGTGTGATTTGATCATTGAAGTTGGAAAAGTTTGGCTCCCCTGTTACTGTGGCTATACGTGCATAAGGAGGAAGTACAATTTTAATTTAAATAGAAATTTCAAGTGTAGAAGGAAGGAGATGATGTTGTAGCTTAAAGTTTTATTTGAAAATAAGTGGATTATTAAGATTGTAAGGGTAAGGAATGTTGAAATCTAGAATGGAAAAAAAATATTTTAGTTTGATAACTATGCCATAATTATTTAATAAAATGAGTAGTAGGAGAAGTAATGCACCTAAAGTATTTGGTGCAAAGACTAACAGAGGATTGTGTCTCAAGAAAGAAAAATGATAATAATAGATTGACATGGGTAAAACAAGCTAGAGTAGACTAGCGATATAAATGGTACTTAGACTAACTCTAAAGCATGAATATTAATTTTAAAATGACGGGGTTGATTTGGAATTGTGTTAAAAAAATTTCATTTATTTACATCCTGATAGGGTGTGACGAAGAATGGGACCCTGACCAAAATTAAAGGAAGGATACTTTTGAGAATTTGAAGCTATAACAAGTAAGTGAATAGCATTCCATTTAATTTATTTTTAATAGCATTTTTCTGAAATATTTTATTCTTATGAATTATATTAATTTTGAAAATTATAAAATATCAATGAAAGACAAACGAGTTATAATACATACATTTATTATTTTCAAAAGTGTATTTTCAAGATTGATGAAAGTATTTTTGTATGGTTGTTAAGCTTTGGAATGTATTGGCTACTTAATTTCTGCAAGTTTGGTATATTAGCTATAAAGTATGATTTTCACAAATTTTAAGAATTGAAACAATTCATGCAAGTTTGGCAATTGAGAATGGTAATTTATTACAGTAGTAATTATTTTTCTCGCATGTTTGAAACGTGATTTTAAGAGGACTCAAAACAGAACACTGCTGCTAATGGTAGTTCCGTTAGCCCGTAGCGTGCTGTGGTTAAACACTAGCTAGTTTGTTTCGTGAGTTTTATTCTCACATTTGGTATTCGTGGGCTTAGTACCTGCATTTGATTTCATGGCCTGAGCCGCGTTTGGTTATTTACCCTCGTGGGCTGTGTGTCCACGTTTGTTTCGTAGCTTCAGTTGCGTTTGGTTATTTACCCTTGTGGACTGGTGTGTCCACGTTTGTTTTCGTGGCATAAGCCGCGTTTGGTTATTTATCCTCATGAACTGTATATTCACATTTGTAACCTGTTCTGTTGAGTTCTCAAAATTCTAAATGTTGATTAAAGTGTTTTTAAATTTACATGATTTTGGCTAACAATTTTACCACTTTGAGGTATATGTGAGTAAATTGTTTTCTTTAAGCATGATAACATAATTTGTTTTCAATTTACTCTTATTTTACAAATATGGTTATGACTTATAGGCTTATAAATTTTTATGGAATTACTTTGAATTAGTTGACACTAATATTAGATTTTGTTGATTTAAATTTTAAGAATTTTATCATGGGAATGCTATTTACTGAAAAAATTATTTTGGCCTCAGATTTGTTAGCTGACGTCAATCCTACCATCGACCTTAAAAGGGCAGAATAGCTACATTGGGTGAAAGTTTTAGATTGGCATTGTTTCTTTTAATGTAAATATATATAGTTTGTATGTTTTTTTTTATTTAAAGAAAGATTAGAGGCTCCACATAGATTGTTGATATATTTTGTTTTGGTTTGCATATGGGTTGCTGCCTGGAAGGAGCTACGCTCCTGATTTGTACTATTATCTGTAAAAAAAATTTGTTGTAAAATTTTCGAGAGATCCTAGTTGTAAGGGAGGTTTTGTCAAAATTTTTACAAAAATGTCGACACTTTCTTATGATAATGAGTTTAAAGGAGTTATTTTAATTCTCATGTGATTTGATTAAATTTTTATTCTTTTCTTTTGTAAAATGGAATAAATGTTCATTCAGAGCTTACGAGAATGTGTGAGTGGTTCACACCCATACCAGTCACCCTCTATTTATGGGGTATGACATTAATGAATGTAAAATAGGGTGAGCGAATTTTATATATATAAATATATATATATATATATTTAAATATTTATTTGATAAATATTTGTATATATATATTTATATGAAATATAAAATATAAAATATAATTATATATATATATTTTGAAATATATATATTCATGTTTATGTGTGTGTGCGCGCGTGTGTGTGAGATATATGAAATTAAATAAATAAAATATAATATACATATATTTTTGAAATATATGTGTGTGTGTATTCATGTATATATATAATAATAATAATAATGAAAAGAAAATAATAAAAATGTTACCAGAAGAAGTACAAATAATATTAGAAAAAGAAAATCTTAGGGAAAAAATGAAAAGATTTAAAGAACATGCTAAACTTTTAGAACAAAAAGTATATGAAATGAAGAAAGATTGTAATGAAAAATTAGATGAAATAAAACATGATACAAAAAGATTAAGAACTAAACAAAGTTTAATAAGTCATAATATCTATTATATTATATTATAGTATACTGTGTTAGTTTTAAATTTAATTTTATATAATAAACTAAATTTAATAACTAGCATGATATGAAAAAATATCATGTCAGTTATATAATTTGAATTTATAAATTTAAATTAGATATGATATTATGAATTAAATTTATCTCATAAATTTAATTAATTTTTCACGGGCTCTTCAAGTGAAATGCAAAAACTCTAATCTATATATTATATATAGATATGGACGAGCTTTATGAAATGGGTGAGAAAGTTAAAAAAGTTCTAATGGCCAAACACTTTAAGAGCCATAAAACACTCTAGATAAAGAAAATCAAGGTTCAAAGAAGAACGAACATTGGGAGCACTAGCATGTTGTTTAAGTTAGAGAGCTGTTCATATGGATACCGATAAAGGGAGCAGATCTATGTTGTCAGCTTCTGAGATCCAAACTTTTGAAGAGAACACACATGAGAATTCAAAATTCAAAAGGTAGCTTTTTTATTAACTTTGACTTAAATGAGTTCGTTCAATCCACATCAAGATAGAGATTTAAAATTTTAATCTTTCGCTGCGCCTCTCTATCTAACATGTCTTGCTGACTATTGAGGGATTTTTTGTTGAGCAAGGTGAAGATTTGTTTATAAAAATTTCTTTTAATGTACTAATGAAATTAATGTGTTATGTTTTGAAAATATGATTAGGTGCTCTACATAAGTTATAGTTAGGGTCCTTATTTAGTTATATACTCTATCTGCTAGCTGGATGGAGTTGTGCTCCTGATCTTAGTGATATTTTGCTAAAGGAGATGCTGCTAAAATTATTACAAAAATAATAAAGCTTTTGTAAAAAAAATAATAATAAAATAAAATTGATTTATTATTCAGGATTTCCTAGATTCAATATAAATATAATTAACAGAAAATTTCCTAGATTCATGTTCTGTACACATATCTTATGCCAATCACCTCTATATTTCAGGGCGTGACATCTCTGATGTGGGACTCATGACAGACATTGATGAGATTAAGTAAGGCTATTTAAATCAGTTTAGAAAGCCTTTATGTTATTAGTTAGAATATTCATCAAGATAAAATGGACTTGCCTCTCCCTTTGGCTTTGCCTGTACCATCCATGTGTAATTAACTCGGATTTCCAGCAACAATATAATTCTAAATTGACCACAAAATGTGATGCTGGAATTGAAATTACAGGGATAAATGAGCACGTTCCGAATTACAAGCAATGGTAGAAGAGATAGAAGAAGAAAAGATACAAGGAGAAGTAGAAATTGCTGAAGGAACAGAGAAAAATATCAGATAGGAGAGAAGCAACAGAGGGAGATCATTTCATCAAAATAATTCTCTGCCTCTCCGGTGCATATATCTCTCGATATATACCTCAAACCTCAAACTCCTTCAGCATAGCCCTAAGCCTAACATCACAAGCTGTTGGACCACTAGTTGCTTCCTTGTAAAATCGGTCCATCCAAACTTGTCCGTGACATTTTCTCCCCCATCAAAATGGACCTTGTCCTCAAGGCCCAAGCTTGAAAAATTAACTTGAAAAGAACTTAAAGTTACACACAAAGGTGGATCAAGACCATTCCAAGGGATCAAAATAAGATAGCCCTTAGGAAAGCAATTGGAGATGCATGGTTGAACAACACTGCGACATATTCGGCATTGCTCCATTGAAATCAATGAAAACAATATAATACCAAGGTGCAGTGTGTCAGTAATTATAATAGTACCCTTATGAAAATAATCCCAAATGGTATAAACACCTTTTATCATTTTATATCGTTTGGTTAAGACAAAAACAAAAGGGTATACCTTGGGTCCAAACACATTAAATCCTTCCATGGTAATAAAATCTTCATAACTCCAGTAAGTTGTGGGAATCTCAAGCTGGACAAAAGTTGATAAAAGTACACGGCATAATGTGTAGTAGACTTGGGATCACTATCAAAGAACTATGGCATCAGATCAAGGCAACCCATTATAGAACATTTTTTTCATGAGAAAACCCATTGCATTACCTTTTGTTCTGCAGAAAATTTGATTGTTAATTTTCTGAACACCAAAATGAGGATTAATAACGTGTAGGTATGGTCGAATTATATTGACATAGCAGCCACCACTGAAATAAACAATACTCAGAGTGACTAGAAAACCACCTATCATGATTTTTGATGTAAAGACATGTGATGGTGGCCTATAAAGTATGTATCTAGTCAAGAAAAGACCGTGCCATTGTTGTTCGCTTAAGTATTCCATCCTTTGAGCTTCACTTTTAATAGTGATAATAATTGATAAGTAAGAGATCTCATCAACAAATTTCATGCACATATCCATCTTAGCATCTACAGGATCAAAGACCAAAATGCAAAATATAGACCATGGTTGAAACCCAATTGCAAAACTGAATAATTCAAACGCAACTATTCCTTTTCCATAGTCGAAATCCTCAATAATGCTAAACTCATGCATTATATTATGTCCCCCCATAAACAATAACCTTGTCCTCAAGGTAATGGATTGAGTAGCTAGAGGACCAGTGTGAACTAAGTAATGAATCAAAGAAACTCCCATGACTATGAAAAATAGATCTGACGCAAGCATTGAGCACTAAAATGGCATAAGTCAACAAGGAACATTGATGCATGGAAACCAATTTCCAAAATGCGACAGTGTCATATGATTGTGATATGGAATTAACCCTTAGGAGATGCATAGCAATGCCACAATGGCGTGGTGGAAAAATCTGGTAGTGATCAATGATACGAGGTATAAGTGTACAATGGCCAAATATGTCTTTGCAGAAAGCAAAATCAATCAGATTTGTTGCTTTAAGGAAAATGGTTTTTGCAACCATAATTTGCAAATAATGAAAATCTCCAAAATGATAGAAACGGAAGGCATTAACACATATTTCACCAAGACCAATTTGAGAGGGTAATAATGGAGTAGTTAAGGCAAGGAGATACCCAAAAAAAACCCAAGGGGAAGAGGGACTGGAGCTCCGAATATTGGCACCACACCAACTCAGTAGTGCCAAGGTCAAACACATAAATGAAAAATAAGAGCAGTGATGGAAATCCAACAAGTGAAGCAAGAGGTTCAATGTGACAACAGAACAAACACCTAGCGTGCCTTGGGGAATAGATATGAAATGTACCTGGAGGATAAACACCTGACTGAACAACTTGAAGGAGAAAAGGAGAACGTTGAAACAGAACAAGACAAGGCATGAAATAAAGGTTCATGAATAACTCTAGCAAATGGTTCAGATGCTTCAAAGAAAAACTCTAGCAAATGGTTCAGAGCAATATAATGAATAACCGAGTCCTTGACATTAGGTGAGTGGACTGCATGAGTCGGGGAAGCAGAAGATGCTTCAATGGCTTTAGAGACATCGGTGAGGGTAGAAATTAGAAAATCAGCGAGAGCAATCTGGTTGCGGTCATATGAAGACGACACAGGCTCGAGAGGAACGGAGACGTTGTGACCAGGGGCAATATCATTAAAGATGGCGGCGGAAGTGGAGGTGGAATTCCATATCAATTGGGATAAACGCTCGTTTTCAACGCCCAAGTGACGATCGATCCCACCAATGCGAGCATCAAGACGATCCCAGTGAAACTCGGCCTGGTGGAATCAGGGGCCTGTCTGGGTCATCGTCCATGTTCTAATCATGATGGAAGTCGGCCATCCGGTCTGAGTCAATATCGGTAGTTCAGTTTCAGTGGTAGTTGGCCGTCTGGTCTGGATTGCCGCCGTTGGTATAGTCCCAGTCAGTAGTGGCAGTCCGGTCCCAGTCAATGGTGGCGGGTTGGTTCCATAGCTTTGGGAATCTGGTCTAATATAGTTGGAGGTTCATCAAGCGTTCATAAATTTGAGTCAAATTAAAAAAAAATTAAGTTGAGATTTAAAATAATCAAGGCTTTAAAAAAAATTTAAATTATTAAAAAAAATTGAGATAGAATTTAGATTTGGATTAAATCTAAATTCATATATTTTTTATTATCTAAATAATAAATTTGACTCAAATTTAAATCCAAATTTAAATCCTATATGTAACCAAACTTAACATTAAAGTATTCAACAAAATTTAGAAACACGAACGAATTTGACTAATTTGCCAAAAATTGTGTGAAGTGATTAACAAATAACAAATCCTTATAATTAACATACAAGCTAAGGGAATAAATTCTAGAGGTCCACTTCAAAAGAAGTGAATTATTTATTGAAAATTTCAGAAGATAAATGCCTGGGGTACGGTACTGCATTTTCCGAGGGGACTTGTGATATACTATTGTACATGGCTCAGAACTAAATCTATATTGAAAATAAATCGGTAACAGTATGTGATGGGAAAAGCCATCACAAATCACAAGCAAAAATATCTGCAATAACGCATTTCTGTCACAAATTTACTTTTATTTCGAAACCCTTAAAATGCCCAAAAACGTATTCAATTGTTTCCAAACAATTAATGTTCTTCTAAAAAAAGGAGTAAATTCAACAACTACACACATACCACTAAGTACGGTCAATGCCATGACTTACGGCATGCACGGTGATGTGACCACTTCACAGTTGACGTTAAATTACTCTTACTTGACTCCAACATTTTGAACCGCTTCCAGTCCTGGAGGACGGCCTCAAGGTCGGCAATCTTCTCGGTGATGGTCCGGCAACAGTTAGCATGCACGGTAGTGACAGCCCTGAAGTCCCTGCTATCTCGACAAAACCCACTGAAGTAAAGAGTGTCCATGAACCTAACCCTAAGACCTAATTGTCTGATAATGCCATGTCTGATGAGACCGTCAAGCACGTCTTGTTCTTTTTGACCGTTGGAGCTGTTCTTCTTACCATACCATGTTTCAAACAACGAAATGGTCTTGTTGTTTGATCGAACGAAGTAGAATCCCGTGTTGATATTATGGTTTTTTGACCGAGGATTTCCCAGGTAATAGTCGGTGCTGATCTGTAAGTCCTCATTAGCATCGTTGCTGAGTCTTGTGAATGGGTTTCTTAGCCACATCACATCAGTGTCCTGTTCCACTGAATATTCAATTTGTCATATATCAACGGTTAGCGATGACAATAAATAAGCAATTGTTATTTCTTTTCTCATTTTGTATAACTATAATATGAAAATCCAGATCAACCTGCTGATTTTAATCAATGAACTGTTAATTGAGTGTCTTGCCTAATCTAATAAAATACTTTTTATAAACGATTTGATATTGGTTTGACTATGATTTCGATTATTAATCCTTAAATTTGTGCCTTAATTAATTTAATGATCAATTTTCTTTTTAATAACTTTAAATATAATTAACAAGCAAACAACACAATTAAGGGAGGAAGAGAATAACACAACAAAAATTAATTTTTTTGAATAAACTTATTGTGAACTATAAATTAAAGGAACATTATAACCACGAGTTTCTTTGAATTATAAAAAAAGGTAAATGATGAATATAATTTAATTCTTAATATTTTTTAACAGAAGATTGACATGCAATGATACAATGGCTGTAAAAAATACAACTTCTCACATCTTCAAGGAAAGCATATATTTTGGGCCATTACAAGAATTAAAATTTTAGGTTTATTTACCTTTTTCCTTCATTTTTCTCATTCCATACATGCAATGATGAAAAAAATGTCGGGTAATATAATATTAAAAGAAAATTGTAAGGCGTGTGTGGCAACTCCATATGTACAGTATGCAGAGCACGTAACAATGAAACAAATAACAAATGGAAAACAAAATTTCTGCACACATTAGAAATATACAAGTCAGTACCTCTAATACAAAATATAATGACCATAAAGAGAAATAATTATTTGGAAATTTAGTATCAATTATCAATGAATCAATCAATTAATTTATTAAAAATGGATTAATTTGATGCACCTGCGTTAGTGACTCCTCTTCTACATAATACGTCATCAAGACATGTGACGAAAACATGATCGAGTATTTCTTGTTTAAGTTTGTCGATTCACTCTAATCAATGCAATAAAATACAAATTCTTATCTATCTGAAGCTATCATTAACCATTATCTTCAATTTCATGTACACAATGTAACTTACTCCTTTTCTTCTCTATTATAGGATATATTCTAGAAGCATTTTATGATCCTTAATATAAGTCACACTAGAGAGTATTAATTCTATTTTTTAGTATTACCCATATTTAAACTCATTGACTATGAAAAAGAATGAAATGCAAAATTGAATATTTTTTATTTAAATAGGGATAAAATTAAAAATTTATTCTATTTTCAAACAAAATTAATAACTTAATTGCCTCCTCTTGATTTTGGTAAGATAGTTGGAAACACTTTATAATGAGGACCAGAGGGAGTATACGTGCTCCCCCACAAGCCACATGTTCATATAATAAAAGAATATATTCGAAGGAGTGTGAGCCAAGACATATGTACAATGCAGGACATGAAACAGAAATAACACACGGAATTCATGTATCATTATTAGCTCTCATCATCTAAGGAATTTCGTCTTTAAAATAAAATTTTTGAATAAGCATCAATATACTGGTCAAAAAATAAGCATCAACATCAACATCAATATATATTGATAATTGAAAATTTAATCTCAAATGCTTTTTACTAAAGAAAAATTGTTTTCCAGTTTCAAGCAGCAAGATTAACTCTGAAGGTGCAAAAATTAACTTTAATTTAATTATTTAGTTGTTTAATTTGGCATGTGTTTGGCCACAATTAAATGCAGATTTCCCGTTCCAAATATAACCCTTCACGTGTCATTTTACTACAAATAAATTACTATGACTAATTAATTAACCAGAACCTCTTTTACATTTAATCAAAATTTAGTACTCATAATCCCTTGAAACCCCCATTGTCAGCTCCAACTTAATTCTGTTATAATTGAAATTAGTTGTATAATACCTGAATTAGTTATGTATCAGTAGTTATTCTCATGTACATGTATATATATTGCTGGCTGTACAGATATTATACAATCAATAATATTCATTTTCCCATTTTTCCAATATTTCGCTTCCAGTCACATGGTATCTAGAGCACACTAATTCTCTTTCTTACTTTTTCCATCTTCTCTTACCTAGCTTTTCAACTTTACTCGATTTCTCTTTCTTCTTTTTCTCTTTTGTCTTTTCTGATCTCATCAAACCCCATGGCCGACCTCAACTTTCTCCGACGACCTGAGGCTGAAATCTCTCCACAGTAACTTGCTCCTCCTTCTGATCAGACCAGTCCATATTACATTCACCTTAACGAGAACCCAGCCCTTGTCCTGGTGTCTCCTCTGTTAGATGGTTCAAATTATCATTGTTGGGCTCGCGCTATGCGCATGGCTTTGCTTTCAAAGAACAAGCTCAAGTTCATTGATGGATCTATTTCTCCACCAGCTTCTACTGATCCTCTTTTTCCTGTTTGGGAACGCTGTAACAATCTTGTTCAAGGTTGGCTCACCAAAAGTCTCTCACTGACGATCGCTAAGAGTATCTTGTGGCTCGACAATGCTCGTGATATTTGGATCGATCTTCAATCGCGTTTCTCTCAATTTGATATTTTTCGAATTGCTGATCTTCAAGAAGAAATTTTCTCTTTGAAGCAAGGTGACCTAAGCATTAGTGAATATTTTACTCAACTGAAAATTCTCTGGGATGAATTGACCAATTTACGACCCATTAAGAGTTGTACTTGTGGTTCTGTTGATAGTGCTCGCACTTATAGGGATGAAGATTATGTTCTTCGTTTTCTCAAGGGACTCAATGATCAGTTTACTTCAGTCAAATCTCAAATTATGCTTCTTGATCCCTTACCTTCTATTAATCGAGTTTTTTCTCTTGTTCTTCAACAAGAACGGGAACTCTCTCTTGCTTCAGATTCCAAGATTTTATTGGCTAAAGGACCTCCTCGTTCTGGTTTCAAGCCTTTAGGAAATTATACTCAACAAAAAATATGTACCTATTGTGGCAAACCTCATCACACCGAGGAAAATTGTTACAGGAAACATGGTTTTCCTCTTGGCTTTAAATTTCGCAACTCCTCTGCCGCGGTGAACAATTTGACTACTCAAGATTCTGCTTCTGCTCAAGAAACTTCTACTGCACCATTGACTTCATCTTCCTCCTCAGTTACTGTTCTTCCTCAACTTTCTGCTGACCAATATCAACGACTTCTTTCTTTGCTCCAACCAGATTCCTAGTCTTCTTCCTCTGTTAATCAGTTGGCTGCTTCTCAACCTCCTACAAGTAATCTTCGTTCTCCTAACACCACTTGGATCATTGATTCAGGTGCGATGGACCATGTTTGTAGTTCTTTAGCTTGGTTTACCTCTTATCATTCTATTTCTCCCATAAAAGTTAGTTTACCTACTGGATCTCATGCTATTGCCACTATTTCCGGTACTGTCAAAATCTCTTCCACCATCACCCTTATTAATGTCCTTTATCTTCCTGATTTTTCTTTCAATATTATTTCTGTTTCTCGAATGACCATTTCACTTCATTGTTGTCTCACTTTTTTCTCTCAATCTTGTCAGATTCTCTCACTCCATCCTTTGCTGATGATTGGTACAGCTAAGCTTTTTGAAGGGCTTTATATTTTGACTGCGGATAAGCCACAATTCAACTTTCAGCTTCCATCTACTGCTTTGATTTCTGCCGTTGCTTCCTTTCCAACTTCAGATCATACTCTTTAGCATTTACGTTTGGGTCATCTTTCTCATTCTACTCTTACTGTTTTACATAAGCAAATACCATCAATTTCTTGTACTTCTCACCCCGTACTTTGTGATACTTGTCATATTGCTAAGCAAAAACGTCTTTCTTTTCCTATTAGCACAAGCTCAAGTAATAAAATTTTTAAACTCATTCATGTTGATATCGGGGGTCCTTTTTCTGTTCCTTCTATTCAAGGTTATCACTATTTTTTGACCATAGTTGATGATTTTTTCTCACTACACATGAGTTTTTCTGATGCATTCTAAATCAGACACCCGCCAGCTTTTAAAAATTTTTTTTACCATGGTTGAAACACAATTTTCTTGCTCTGTTAAGATCATTAGAACTAATAATGGCTTAGAATTCTCTTTTTCTCAATATTATGATTCAAAAGGAATAATTCATTAGACTACTTGTATTGAAACTCCTCAACAAAATGGTTTAGTTGAAAGAAAACACAAACATATTTTGAATGTTTCTAGAGCTTTGATGTTCCAATCCAATATTCCAATTGTTTACTGGTCTTTTGCTATTATGCATGCCACTTATCTTATAAACCTTCTTCCATCTCCTATTCTTAATAATTGCACTCCTTTTGACAAACTCTATCAAAAACCATCTTCTTATTCTCATCTTAGGGTCTTTGGTTCTCTTTGTTTTGCCACTACTATTATTGTTCATCGTTCTAAGTTTGCTCCTCGTACCCGTAAATGTGTTCTCCTAGGATATCCTTCTAGTTCTAAAGCCTTTATTTTACTTGATTTACATACTCATCATGTCTTTCTTTCCCGTGATGTCCAATTCCATGAACTTGTTTTTCCTTTTCACCCTTCCTCTATTTCTTCTCCTCTATCTCCTTCTTCTCCTAATATTCCCAGCATATAGTCTTTTCCTCCTTTATCTATTGATGATGACTCCTCCCCTCTTTCTCTTCCCCTCCTCCCCCTCCTCCTCCTCCTACTATTACTTTGACTCCACCCTCTTCTTCAGTTGCTCCTCCTTTACACCGCTCCACTAGACCTCATACCCTTCCTTCTTATTTGCATGATTACCATTGTGCCCTTTTATCATCCTCTGACTAATCATCTAGCAAAGGTACTCCTTATTATCCTTTATCCTCTGTTTTGTCTTACTCTCGTCTTTCCTCTTCTTATAAACATTTTATTCTATCCCTTTCTACTGTTACTGATCCAAAAACCTACCAACAAGCTGTTAAACACTCCATTTGGAGGGATGCCATGGCTGCAGAAATTTCTGCACTTGAACAGAACCATACTTGGGTCCTTACTACTTTGCCACCTGGTAAGAAAGCTATTGGATGCAAATGGGTCTTTAAGACCAAATTTTTAGCTGATGGTACTATTGATAAACACAAAGCTCGCCTAGTAGCCAAGGGTTACACTCAAACTGAGGGAGTTGATTTTTTTGACACTTTTTCCCCTGTGGCTAAGATGACTACACTGCGCTTGCTTCTCTCTCTTACTGCTGCTCAAAATTGGTTTCTTCACTAATTAGATGTTAACAATGCATTTCTTCATGGTGATCTTCATGAAGAGGTGTACATGATTCCCCCACCTGGATTTTCTACTCCTCAGTCGAATATGGTGTGCAAGCTTGAAAAATCACTTTATGGCCTTAAACAGGCTAGTAGACAATGGTATTTTAAGCTTTCTGCTGCCTTGTTTTCTTATGGGTATAATTAGTCTCCTTCTGACCATTCTTTATTCACTAAATCCACCGGTTCTTCTTTCACTGCTATACTTGTTTATGTGGATGATGTGGTGCTTGCTGGAAATGACATGACAGAAATTAATCTCATTAAGGCACATTTGGATGAAGCTTTTACTATTAAAGATCTTGGAGAACTCAAATATTTTCTTGGGTTGGAATTAGCTCGTTCAAAGGAAGGTATCTCTCTTTCTCAATGCAAGTTTGCTCTTGAATTACTTGAAGACATTGGTTATCTTGCTTGCAAACCTGCTAGTACACCAATGGATCCTCATCTCAAGTCGTCTAAAGACATGGGCACTCCTTTATCCAACCCCTTGTCCTATAGAAGATTGATTGGGTGTTTTCAGTATCTTACCACCACCAGACCCGATCTCAGCTTTGCAACTCACCATTTAAGTCAATTCTTGTCTGATCCTCGAGATATACATATGCAAGCTGCCTATCGGGTCCTTCAGTACATCAAGTCTTGTCCTGGTGCTGGTTTATTTTTTCCTGCCAAATCTGATCTTAAGTTGAAAGCTTTTAGCGATTCTGATTGGGCAGGCTGTGTAGACACCAGGCGTTCAGTTACTGGTTTTTGTGTCTTTCTGGGTCCCTCTTTAATCTCTTGAAAATCTAAAAAACAGCCCACAGTGTCCCGTTCTTCTAGTGAAGCTGAGTATCGTGCTCTTGCAACTACAACGTGTGAGCTTCAATGGTTATTGTATCTTCTCCATGATCTTGAACACATACATTGTGATCCTGCTTATCTTTACTGTGATAGGCAATCAGCTCTTCAAATTGCTGCCAATCCCACTTTTCACAAACGTACTAAACACATTGATCTTGATTGCCACTTAGTTCGTGAGAAGCTTCAAGAAAAAATCATCTGTCTTTTTCCGGTGCGTTCTTCAGATCAGCTTGTAGATGTTTATACTAAGGCTCTTCATCCTAAGCCCTTTTTTGAGCTCATTTCCAAGCTGGGCATGATTAATATACATGCTCCAGCTTGCGGGGGGGTGTCAGCTCCAACTTAATTCTGTTATAATTGAAATTAGTTGTATAATACCTGAATTAGTTATGTATCATTAGTTATTCTCATGTACATGTATATATATTGCTGGCTGTACAGATATTATACAATCAATAATATTCATTTTCCCATTTTCCCAATATTTCGCTTCCAGTCACACCCATTAATTACCTAGAACGGTTTCGATTACATTAATTCACAGCTAATTAACACCCCTCTAATTCCTTTTTCCCAATTAACACCCCTCTAATTATAATACTTATCTCTTACACCTAATATTCTAATCATTTTCACCCAATTTTTGTTTATTTCTTCTACCAAGAATTGAAACGGGACAAACTTCAGCACTAAACACGTCATTTCTGTATTTATCTATTATCTATAAGAAATGTTACAAGCTTGATTCAGAAAAACAATTTAAAACTAACGTATACCTTTAACCCTTAAACTTTACACAAGTTTTCGTTTTGATCCCCTAACTTTACACAAGTCCATTAATTCTTTTTTTTTTTTGAAACTATTCAGTTCTTTAATTCTAACTTACATTAGTTTTATCATCAAAAAATTCATACATTAAACTTTTAAATATTAACAGGACATTCTCAAATTTTAACATATTAAATTTTATTTTTAAAATAACATTATTATATTGACAAAAAACAAAAGCATTTGAAACTAATAGTTTTAGGGTTAGACAAGTGAAAAATTATTTTATAAAATTAAGAGGCCAATCTGATACTTTATACAAAGTTAAATGACCATGAACAATATAATAATAGCAGTAAATAAAGAATCGGGAGAAATTAAAGCAAAAATGGTTCAATGAAGTGTGGAAACGAAACACATTCAAAAGCCAAAAAGGAGAAAAGACATGTAGGGCCTGTTTGTCAACTTGGTTTGGGAATAGTTTTTTGTTCTCCAGAACAAAAGAACAAAAAGACTTATTTGGTAATGTGTTTTCAAAATGTGTTTTAGAGAATAAAAAAACAAAATATTATTTTGGAGAACAAAAAAAAATAACTTTTAGGTGTTCTGGGATTATTGTTCTGAAAAATAAAGGAGAATGAGAAAAACACCTATTTTTATTATTTTTTTGTTCTCAAAACATGTTTTACAAACCACCAGTTCTCAAAACAATAAAATAAAAATAGTTTCAAACAGTCCCGTAGTCATCAGTACTGTTTACTCTAAATAAAATATAGGCTAAAATATACTTTTAGTCCTTTGACTTTATATAAGGTTTTAATTTAATCCTTTAATTTTGTAAAATACTCCCTTTGATCCTATTTATAAGTCACTTCCAGCTTCATTGGAACAAAGAAAAATCTTAAATTTTATTAACCTTGTCTTAAAATTTAACAAGTTTTCACCTTTATCTCTAATAAATATTCTTAAATTTCATTATTATTATTTTTATTCAGAGCATTTAAGAAGGGTAAAAATGTAATAAGTATTGAAAATTGGCAAGTACCCTATATATAGAACCAATTATTTTCTTCTCTCTTTGCCCTATAAATAGGACCATAGGAGTATTTTTTTGGTCATTTAACCCTAATTTCGTTAGTTTTAAATAATTATTTTTTGTGTCAATGAATGTTATTTTGAAAATATTAAACTTAATATGTCAATATTTGAGAATATTTTATTAATATTTAAAAATTTAATGTAAAAATTAGTTGGTGTAAAACTAATAGTATTATGATTAAAGGACTACAAAAATATTTTATAAAATTAAAGAAGTAAAATAAAATGTTATATAAAGTTAAAGGACTAAATATATACTTTAGCCTAAAATATATTATTTAATAAAATAATTTATATATATATATATATATATATGCATATAGTCAAATTTCGGAAATAATCCTAAATGATTTATATTGTATTTATGATAAAAAGAGAAATATATGATTGACAGGGGATTTGGATTTTGTAAAATTATAGGATTATTGGATACGCTAAGAAAGAAAAAAGACTATCCTATCCAAGTTCATTGGATATAAACAGATAAGACTCTCAAGTAAGACGCGTATTAACAACGTAGAAATCAAAGAAATCAAAGAGCAATAATTACTTTAAAAACTATTTTATGTTTTTAAAAATAAAAAATTTAAAAAATTATTTGGACAAATGTTTTTCATTTAATTGTTTTCAAAATTATTTTTATTTTTTGTTTTTAAAAATAAAAAAAGTAGAAACAACTTCATGTTGTTTTCATTTTATTTTTCTTGTTTTTAAAATACATTACATTTAATTATTAAAAATTATAGCTACCTTAACTAATTTCTATTATTAATCACCACAACTAATTATCTATAACCATAACTATCAATTTTTTTAATTTTAAAGCTGTTTTTTAATTGACATGATCAAATAGATTTTCAATTTATTTTATTTAAAAAATAATTTTGAAAACTATATTACAAAACAGTTTTTAAAAATAAAAAATGAAAACAAAAACTTAACAGGCCCTAAATTTCCAAATATAAAGATAAACCATTCTCTTCAACTTCAAAGGAATTCAATATGTTTTTCTAACTTTTATGGCCCGAAAACATAACAGTTTCAGCTTACAGCCTTCTTTTCTCTGCAAATATAGAATTATAGTTGTCCAGTTGATTGTCCCAAACAAGACGCACAAATTAAACCCCATTCAGTAAAATTTGATGAATTAATTAAATTAATTAATAATAAAACAAAATATTATTTCTGTAAAAAAAAACTGACTTGTCTCTTTGAATGAAGTTGACTGTATCAGTCAATCCATTTCTAAACATCTCTAAAGCAATTGAAAGAAAACCGTACGTACCGTGAATATGATGCTATAGCCTCGTTTCAGTACTTCCAAGAGAAAGAGAGTCCTTCTCCACATCATCTTAATGAAATCATCGGACATGAAATATTTCTCGCCTGCAAAATCAACACCGTCCGTTTCCAATTTAAAGCAGTTTAGCCGGAGAAACAGGCACCGGTCGTACGCCGTCTGATCTACGGCCACAACCAGAAGGTGGTTGACCAGAGACCTCGTGCCTTCTCCGAGCCAGAAGCTGCTCAGGAACAGGTCGAACATGGTGGTATGGCCATTAACGTCTTGTTCTGCGTAAGCCTTGTTTATAACCGCCACTATTACAATCTTGTTCTCCGTTGACGCTTTCGCTAAAGCAGAATCAAGACGTTCTTCAACGGTGTTCTGCAATAATCTCAGAAATGAAACCATATATATGTTACCATTTTATTAAAAAAGACTGGATCTTTCGAATCATTGTGAAGCAAGAAATGAGAAAGGGTTATTGATTTGAACTTACTGTACTGTTTGAACGTAACTTCTGGGGCAAGAACAACGGGCTAGAGAGAGAAGAAGACCGAAACAGAAGAAGCACTCCGATCAAGAATAGAAGTACGACGGCGAAATTCACAATTGTATGTTTGGGATAATCCATTGCCTGTGTTCACTGAGACTGATGTATTTCCTTGGAGGCTATATGGCGAGGAGAATTTGTTGTTTGGTAGAAAGATCATGCAATGTTGGTGATCTAAAAGAGAAGAGAGCGAGAGAGAGAGAGGAAGGGAGGGAGGGACGGAGAGAAGGAGATTCTCTAGAACAGGAATGATGATTGAGAATTTAAGGAGGAAAATGGAAAAGAGTTGTCCTTTTATTATACAAAGAGGTGAATGTACGAGACAGACTTCATAGGAAAAGCATCTGGAAATTCATGTTTGGACTTCGACTCTCCGGGTTTTATTTTATTGGAATTGAATTGAATTGAATTTTAGATGAATTAAATTTTGAAAGCTCATGCCCTGACTTCAAAAAGCGCTTATAAAGATATTTATATATTGCCCACCAATTAAGTGTTTACATTGAAATTAATAGTAGGATTTAATTTCATGATCTTACGAGTTGTGAATCAAATTCTTATCAACTAGATCAATCTTTATTGGTATTTTTTATTCCAAATAGTTGAGGAAATTTATTAAATCCAAATTAGGCTAGAGACTAAGCTCCATTTCATAAGTTGAATGAATTTTGAAGAAATTAAAGTGGGAAAAGGAAGAAGAATTTGGACTCGCAAAGAAATAAAATAAAATTTTAAAAATATGCTTTGTATGATAGAAAAATAAATATAATTAGATGTGGGTAATATTTTTTTTGGGCAAATTAGATGTGGATAATATGCATTTCATAATAAATAGAATTAAATGTAGGTCACGCGAATTTCATCAAGTATGAAAAATGATTTACCTTTTTGTTCTTATGAAGGGTTCTTATATAAATATATGACTCAAATAAAAAAGTGGTCCGCACGGATCGCACATAATTTAAGATGTATTTACCATATATGACTTATTAATAATGCGCATAGTTTGTTATAAATTTTAAATATTACACATTGATGTAAATATCAAGGCTAATAAGAGTCTATGGTATCAAGATATTATCAAAGATAGCACATTCCAGTTAAAAAGTTAAAGGAAAAAAAAGGTTTGTTCATAGAAAAGACATTATTCTGATCAAAAATAGAAAAGGCAATATTTTTTTCCCATTGAAAGAGATACTATTTTATGATAAGTTTATTTTTGTGTGTGGCGCAAGCCTAGTTAGAAGGTGTTTGTCTTTAGCCCTCCATTAAGGACAATAAATTCATCAAAAAAATATTGAAGGAAAATAAACCTCTTCTGTTGGCAGAAAATGCTCTTGATTAAAAAAAAAAACATTTTGATTTTTGTGGACAAAGAATTACAATTTTCTCTTCAAGTTTTATTGGGCATTTAATCGAACAAGGATGTTAAACTAAAAATATACTTATATCGAATATTCTATATATAAGGCCACAATAATTTTTCTTTTTTTTTTAAAAATCGAACGAAAGACTGTATTGTTTTAGATACAGATTATTGTGTTGAAAGACAGCAAGAATAAAGGTTGAAAGGGAACTTACTAGGCATAGACTAAAGAAACCACTGACTATGATACCAACAAAGGAACAAGTATGAATAGTAATTGTCCGTGTAGAGAAAATAATTTTTCTTCCAAGAAATTTGTGGGCACAAGTCGTTAGGCATGGTGGACTTGGCTTGTCTCCACTACCCTTCCTCTTCATTTCCTCTCTACTACCCTACAATAAAATATTAGCTGTTCAAATTTAGTGCAGATTAAATATGTATGGTCTAAATTTAAAGTTTTTATTTTTATTTTATACTTATAATTTTTGGATCCTTCAAATTAAATTGAATTATTTTGATTGGTTATAAAATAAATTTTATCAAAAATTTTAATCTTAATTTTAATTAATATAAAATATAAATATAAATATAAATAAACAAATAGAAACTTTAAATCTGAACCGTCCAAATTTAATCTGCACCAAATATGGACAGTCTAGATTTTATTTTTAAATAATGGAGAGGAAAAGTAGTGGAGACAAGCCAAGTACGGATATTATTCATAAGGATGATTCTTCTTTGAAAAATCGCAGAGAGAACCTGCACACAAGAATTGTAATTATTAAAAAATCCTACAAAAGTGAAAGTGATATGTAGAGGGGCAAGGATTCTCTCCTATTCCTTTTCCATCGTCTTCCCTTTAAATGGTTAAGGTTTTATTTTTTATAAAGTCATTATTAAAATTTTAAATTATAAAAAATATATGAATAAAAAAAATTCAAACTGTTAAAATTTAGTATAAACGTACAATTAAAAAATATAGCAAAAACAAAACAAAACAAAACATAACATTAGTGGAGGAGACCTGGACGTGGACTCACTCCCCAACCACCCGTTATTTCTTATCTTTTATATTATAAAATTTATGAAATTGAAACATTTTACGCATACTAATCATAAGTTTTCATAATAACAAGATAATTGGTAGTTTTACATTTTTTTCTCGTTTTCCAAAGGTTTCCAAAGCTCTTGGGGCCAATGATTTTGCTCTTCAGATCAATTTAGCTCACAACATATGGCATCGCTCCTTTCTTCGTTTTCTTCCCATAGTATGAACGTGTGATTTTAGCCAGTTAATGTCGTGGTTGTCCAGATCATCACATGAGCAAGTTGAGTGGGCATCTAAACTGATTGAGGCTGATGGCGTTAAGACTGAGAGACTTTGATCCAGTCTTCTACAATCGTTCCTTCCAGATTGATCGTGTGTCAGAACTCAGATTAATTATTAAATACACTTAATTTTAAAAATTATTTCTTTTGATGTCAACATTCTTTTTTCTTTGAAATATTTTGAGTACTATGGGACAAGAAGGGTGATAAAACAAAATATATTCTTCTCTGGTATTTGAACCGGCAAGATAATGTTCTGGCCGCCGGGAAGAAATCGGCGATGGCAGCGTCTTCAGAGATGGGTTGAGATTTTTTTAAAAAGTAAAATTAGGCATCTTGGTAAATACACACCAAAATTTTATGAACCACCTGAGGGGTTGTGTACCCTATTAGGTAGTACTTGGCTTGTCTCCACCTCTCCACTGCCCAAAAATAAAATCTGGACTGTCCATATTTGGTGCAGATTAAATTTGGACAGTTTAGGTTTAACGTTTTTATTTGTTTATTTATATTTATTAAAATTAAAATTAAAATTTTTTGATAAAATTTATTTTATAACCAATCAAAACAATTCAAATTTAATTTGAAGGATTCAAAAATTATAAATATAAATACAAATAAAAATTTTAAATTTGGATCATACAGATTAAATCTGTACCAAATTTGAATGGCTCATATTTTGTTACAGGATAGTGGAGAGGAAATGAAGAGGAAGGATAGTGGAGCTTGTTAGATGGGGATGATATGGGGACTTCTGAGCCCCATTGGATTTCTGTTTGATTTTTCGTATGCTTGGGCCATGTGCCTCGATGTATACAAAAGAAAAGACCGTGAGATTTCCGATTTATTTTTGTGTTCTGTGGAACTTTTAAGTCACTAAAATTCTTGTCTAGGATCTTTGTGATTTTTCCTTCTTATTCTTCTTGTTTTTGTGAAAATAAACGGAGGACTTATTGTTAGGCTAAAGTATATTTTTATTTTCTTCACTTTATATAAGATTTTAATTTAATTTTTTTAATTTTATGAAGTATCTTTTCAGTTTTTTTATGCAAAACACTGTTAGTTTCAAATGATTATTTTTTGTGCCGATCATTGTTATGTTTTTTAAAAAAATAAACTTAATGTTATAAAATATTTGAAAATGTTTTGTTAATATTTAAAAGTTTAATGTAATTTTTTTGTAATAAAACTAAATGTGTTGGTATTAAAGGACTAAAAAAATACTTTATAATATTAAAAAGCTTAAATGAAAATTTGTGTAAAGTTAAAAAATTAAGAATATACTTTAGTCCTTATTTTTATTATGAGAAATTTGTAGCACAACTTGGACGATACTTAGAATATTCAATTTGTCCACTTTCTTTTTTGCTGAAAACTTTTTTGGTCAAGCAAATAGAAGACTTTTTGGCCAATGAAAAAGAAAATAAAAAAAATATTAACTACATCGGGAAACTGCTTGGAATCAGACAACATCTTGGCATTAATTTGCAGTTTCCCTGAAGTGAAAGCAAAATGACAAACTCAAATTTTCAAATCCAAAACTCATTTGCAATTAAAGACCATGGGACTTCAAGGTTATTTTTGAGTGGGATGATGAAGTAGATATTTCTGGAGCATTTCAGATTCAAAATTTGCATCACCAAAAGTTTTTCCTCGTACGTCTAACACTTAAACACGTACGAGGCCACGGAGACATCCATTTTCCTTGCAACTCATGGGCTTTTCCGACAACCAAATACTACTGCACACACCGCATTTTCTTTACAAATGAGGTAATAATTTATATGAGAACTCTGATCTAGCGAGTCATATGAGATAAACTTGAGCATAATAATAATATATGCATAAAGTGAAAAGATTCATAAACTCAAGTTTTTAAGGTTTTGAATTAAGAGATATGATGTCCTTCTATTGTTTAGGGCAAAATATAGTACATTAGGTAATTTTTATAATTGTTTTTCAATTATATACTCCTACTTTATTTACTACTTTTTTTTAAAGTAAATAATGCATTGAAATTTCAATTGTCATTGGTAAGGCACTTTTATAAGGTATTTAATGAAGGTATAATTGGAATGATGTAAAGTTTTTTAAGAAAAAATTAATGTTTCAATTAACTTTTTTTTTTTAGAGCTGTGAATTCATTATTGATGCCTTATATTATAGTCCAGAGGGAGTATATTTCTAAGTTGATTTTAGTCAGATTATAATCTTGGAATTAAACTAAAACCAAGACTAAATGTGAGGTAATTAATCTTTTTGTTTGAGAGGTTTATTATATTTTTAAAATTAAGGAAAACGATGTGTAACTTTATGAATACTCAAGAGAACTACAGAGAATGATTCATTTGCATTAATTATTTGTTGTAACAGGCAAAGAGGCAAG